CAGACTCTACATAAAAGTTGTATAAGACACCCTAATATTTCCATGGCCATATCATACACCTCAATTGGATCTATGGTTGATTTTATACTCATTTTTAAACAACCAACAACTTTTGTTTCATACCAACAGCACCAGATTTCACCATTTTAATATACCAGTACTTCCATTTGATTTGGTAACCATCCTAAACCATCAATTAACCAAATTAAAGTATTTTTACTTTTTTTATAACAGTCCCTAACATCATGCAACAAAAAACCCACTTGAATCCTAGGTTACCAAACATTGAACTTCTAAAACTTACCAAGTTCTTACCTTAGGGATGATTATAACCTCTTCAAAATGTTGAATCCTTCAATTTCTTCCAAACTTCAGCACCTTCAATATTTTAACTTCAATTCTTCAATATTTCATGATTTCATCAAGATTTGAGGATCAACTTGAAGGAGAAAGCTTTGGTTCTAGGGTTCAAAGGGACGTGAAGAAGAGAGGAGAAGAAATTTGATAAATGAATTTATTATTTTCAAAATTGTTTTTATAATTTCCTATTTTTCATTTTTTGTCCCTCAAGTTTCATGAATTGTGTCCTTATAATGATTAGTGAATTCTCTTACATTTAGGTTTAATTCTAGTTTCACTTGTCCATGTTTAACCCCTCTCATGACCATGTGTGACAAAGTTAGCCATATGCTATATGTACAAGAACTAACTCCAAACATTAACTTTTCACTTAAAGTTCATCACAAAAGTGTGGTTATTGTATTCGTTCAGCCAAGTTCGAAGATAGTCTAATTGATCTATTGGGCAGAGATGGAACTCGGCCACTCGTTGAAACCTGTATTGACCATTATAGTTAATAAACATAAGTCCATATTCAGGTTTCACATGCATTGTATTGGGAATAAAGAGTCCCTTTTTCAGGCAGTGATAGATTCTGCATTGAGATATCTGGATTCTTTCTATTCTTGAACAGCTCATCCACTGAAAATTTTGTTTCATGTTCGTTTATGTGGGATGAACCTTCTCCAGGATCAGAATGGTTTCTTTTTCGAGAGGACTTCTGTGGTAGAGGAGGAACCTCAACGATCTTCGACACTTTATTGAATAGTTCATTTAGAAATTCTTCAATATAAGCCTTATGAAATGACTGTCGAATTTTGAGCCATTCATAAAAACCATACTGACTGAGAAAGGAAGGATACTCAGTGACAACATCGTTGTTCTCCCGGAATATGACCATAAAAACCAGAAGGCCACCATCTTTCATTCATCCATTGATTGTGACATTTGAAATTTTATGAGGGCTCATTCTTGTTTTGATCATTTCTTTACACCAATTCAGATCCTGATTCTTCAGCTTCAACACCCTTTGTCTTTTCTGTTCAGCTTCTTCTAGGAGTAAAGCTTGAGCACTGAGAGGATAATTCTGCATGGATATCCCTTCTGCATAAGCTTGATCAGCTAGAGTCTTGGCTAATTCCAGGTTGTCTTTTAGTTGCTGCTGATGTTGCTTAAGCTCTTGTTTAGCTTTTAGGGATTCCTCGTGTTCAGCTTCAGAGGGAATTCGAAATCAATCCAGAGGTACGAATAAATTTTTTTACTCTGGATTGGTCAAGTTGACTTATAAGCTGAGTCATCCTCAAGTCTTCTTCATCCTCTGAGCACACGGGTTGTCTTGACGACTTCCTGGAAATGAGGTTGTAGACTTCATCTTCACCTTCATCATCCTCAAGGGTTTCAAAAGAAGGAAGTTGGGTTGAGAGATTGAAGGTAGGTGTTGCAGAGAGAGAGAGAAGTAGATAAAAAGAAGGTTCAGCATCTAAGGTAGAGGGTACAAACGTTGTTGAAGTGTTTGTATCCTCAGATTGGTTGAGTGTCCCAAGAAGTAGAGCAAAGTTATCTTCAGCAACTCCTTTCCCTTTGCTAGAGTAGGAGTGTTGATGTGAGGATCTCTCCCCTGGGAAGCAGGTTCCCTGAAGGATCCTTTACACAACAGTTCATCTTCTCCACACTTTTTTCTTTCAACAATCCTTGCACTACAAAAATGCAGAGTATCAGCGAGGGAAAATTCCCTCGTTGATCCGTCGCTGAAAGGGCAATCCGTCGCTGATACTCCGTCGGTCAAACAGTCGTAGGTAATGCTATCAGCGACGGATTTGCGACG